ATGAAAATAGTAGCCCCCCATTTTATTTGTTTGCTATAGATTACTTACAGCCACAAACTAGCGTTAGAATCTATTGTACCTTGTAATGAATGGGTTTCCCCTTCAGAGGGCGTTCAGTGCCATGTGTATAGAGGTTGATGCTCTGGCAGGCTGAAGAAGTCCGCCGTTGCTGAGAAAACAGCCTGCAGCAGATATTAGGAGCAGCTACTGTAACCGCTGTGCTTTTCTGTTCACAGTTCAAACTAAATAAATATGCTACACCAGAAGTGACCCGGCCCATCATTTTCTGTGATGTAACACAGAGGTTAGAGAAGGTGGGCCTGTGATTGGAAGATCGCTGGTTCACAAAAGACAAAACAGAAAATTCGAAACAATTTGTCAAAATGGTTTTTTTTACAGCTTGATGGATATATATGGGGGAGTGGTGGCGCAGAGGTTAGAGAAGGTAGGCCTGTGATCGGAAGGTCACCGGTTCACGCCCCTGTACCGACAACATCAAAAATGTGGGTGGGGTAGGTGAAGTACCCACACTTGCCCCCACCCTCATTTGCCCCACCCTGGGCCCATGAGCAAGGCCCTTACCCCCCATCTGTTCCCTAAACAGGTCTCTCTTGAAAATGAGTTCTAGTGGCTCAATGAGACTACCTTTATAAATAAAGGCTAAATGAAAAATAATAATAATGTGTGCATATTCAATTCAATTCAAAAATACTATATGTGTTTTAATACAGAGGTTATGAACTACTGTGCCAAGTTAGGAATGTGTATTTTGCCAATAACTCAGTAAATCTGGTAAAGCTCACATGTCCCAGCTTTTCACCAGCCTTGAATGTATCATTACCTTTGTGAATCTGGAGTTGTGAGAAAGTCTCAAAAGTCAAATTTACAGGCAGATGATCTGTGTGTTTGTGTTGACTGATTTGTCCACAGCAGGTGTGATTTGTGCACGTGTATTTGAACAATTGTATGTGCAGAATATTCCTACTGGTGCAAACTGAAATGTGTACATTTGAAAATATGTTCATGCATTGGTGAATGTTGTCGTATGTATATCTTCATACAAAGGATTCAGAGGTAGTTTGATTGCAAAAATCTTGACAGAAGAAACTAAAAGCAAGAAGAGTGCATAATCACCTTCACAAAATAAAGCTAGACGAACGTGGACAGTGGAAATGTTGATGGAACTGTGACTTACCTCCACACTGAGACACATTCTTGGCACCAGCAATGCCCTGTCCTTCAGTGCTGGGACATGGCTCACAGGTCAGCTGCCCCTCCATGTCCTGGTATGTCCCAGGAGAACACTGAACACACTGTCCCTGCTCCCCACTGTAAAACGTCCCCACACCACAGCTCACTGAAGAAAAACACAGAATTAATTCTTCCGGTACAGCAACATCAAGACACCTCCAAAAACTCCAAACGTACCACATTTTCCATCATGGAATATTTGTCCCGTGCTGCAGGTTTCAGCCTCCTCTGGCAAATGGGATGGTTTCTGAGCTACTTCATAATCTGTTCCTGAAAACTGGATGTAGAACTGCTGTTTGTTGATGGACTTCCTAAGTGTCCGCATGGCACTCTGCAGCTTCTGCTTCATCTTTTCACGCACACAATCAATGTTGCAAGCATCTAAAATATTTTAAGAGGTTTGTTTTAGAAACCCCATCCTGAAACAGTTTGGACGTTGTGTAAAATGTATAGAAAAGAATGCAATGATTTGCAAATTTCATACACTCATACTTTATTCACAGTATAGTAAACATAGAAAATATTTAAAACGTACAATTTTATGATAAAATGTGGAAGGCAGCACAGTGACGCAACTGGTAGAGCTGCTGTCTCTCAGCGAGCAGGTCCCTGTTTCAAATCTCGGTCCGGATTGTCCAGGGTGTACTCGGGAAGAAGCGGGTAAAAGATAATGGGTGGATGGATGGATGGATGGATGGATGGATGGATGAATGGATGGATGGATGGAATGTGGTCTTTTTAAGTTTGAAGGCAGCAACATATCAACAAAAAGATTAGAAAGGGGCAACAAAAAGCACTGACAGGAAACAGTTGCAGGTACATTATGCAACTATTTAACTATTTAGGTTAATTATCAACAAGTAATAAAATAACCTTATAGGCCGCATTTACATGGAAAAGGTGGGGGGGGGGGGGAGACTTGGTTTATTTTGGATGTTAACTTGAGGAAAAAAATCCATATTGACATGAAGCACATCCAGTGTTTACATGTAGTCGCAGAAATTGCCCCGACTCTGCTGTAGTTGCCATGCCAAGTTATTAGTCGGCGCTGTGAATTTTGTACATTCACTTAAAACACATGCACACTGCCTTGGACAGCTGTCTGTAAGGACTTTCCTCTGGGCTGAAAGCCCAGTAACAACAAAACTTAAAGCTGGATTTTGGATATGAGTCTACGAATTTGACGCTAAGCATGAGTCCGTCATCTAACAGCTCAACACCGTTAGCTGAGTGGACCAGTACTGACAAGAATGATGTCGGACTTTCTACATCAGTGGTAATCAGTAGCCATTGAGCAATGCTAAAGCAGGTAAATCCACATTCTCTTGATAATGTTTGCTTGTGTTGTTTGGCTACAAAAAAAAACAAGTTTTTATTTTTATTTTTCCTGCGAGGAGAAGCTATCCCCCTCAGTTCCCCTTCCCCATGATCCTCCATCTGCCTGCATGGACTGAACTCTACGGATGCATTCAGTTCTGCGGGGAAACCTCGGATGTTCTCCGTCTGCCAGACCTGGTTCTGGAGGCAGTCTGGGAGGGCAGCTGCTGTGGTCATTGTTACCATCGGTAACAAACAGAACAAACCAGTTCTGTTTGTGATAAGATGGTCTCTTTGGTACGCCCCCTCCTCCATTGCCGGCCCTCTTCCTTGTTGACAGTCTTGTCAAACTGGTTGAAAACAACAAAGTCCAGGCACAATAATTCAGGTATACAATTCAACATTTTTCAGTCAGGTCATCTGGACAGTTTCTTTTTTTTGTGCTGAAACATTTCGCCTTTGGTCCAGAAGGCTTCATCAGTCAAGGAAACACACAGCAAAACTGATTCTTCCTCCAAAGCTTACTCCAAAGTGGAACAACCAATTCTGTTTGTGATTAGATGGTCTCTTTGGTACACCCTGCCTCCATTGCTGGCCCTCTTCCTTGCTGACAGTCATGTCAAACTGGTTGAAAACAACAAAGTCCATGCTCAATAATCCAGGTATAAAATCCAACATTTTTCAGTCAAGTCATCTGGACAGTTTCTTTTTTTTTTAAATAAAGAGTCACTAATTTCGGAGTGATAATGGACCCTTCCCTGAAACTTAACAATCATGTAAACATGATTGTTAAATCATGCTTCTTCCAACTGAGGCAGCTGTCTAAACTGAAGCCCATATTGTCCAAAAATAACCTGGAGACAGTAATACATGCATTCATTACATCTAGGCTTGATTACTGCAATTCGCTCCTGTTTAGTATCAGTCAGACCTCCATTGCACGACTACAACTGGTCCAGAATGCAGCAGCCCGATTTTTAACCAGTACAGGCAAAAGAGAGCACATTACACCAGTTTTGGCCTCACTGCACTGGCTACCGGTTCACTTTGGAATCCAGTTCAAAATACTCATGTATGTCTACAAATCACTGAACAGTTCCCCCCCCCCCCCCATTGCTCTGATCTGCTACAGCCGTATGTCCCACCACGTTCCCTGAGGTCAGCAGACCAGTTGCTTCTCACAGTTCCAGGAACTCGTCTTAAGCGCAGAGGTGACAGGGCCTTCTCTGTAGCAGGACCAAGACTCTGGAACGAGTTACCTCTGCTTGTCAGACAGGCCCCCTCCCTCTCAGTTTTCAAGTCCCGTTTAAAAACCCACTACTATTCGGTGGCTTTCAACACCAGATGATCTGTGTTTTGATCCTGTATGCTCCACACTGGTTTGTCATCATTATCTGCATCGTTTTTATGTCTGTTGAGGAACATATATCTGTGATATATTATCCATAAATTAGACGGATTCATTCATTTTTCTGGACTGAATAATATTGTGCATTGAAATTAAAATGTAACGTGAGACGTCAATTTTCTTTGACCCATCAAATGAATGCGGTCATTTATTAACAGAATCAAAGTTTAACATCAAACATTTACATTAATTTGGCAAATTGATTTCAACAACAACATAATTAATTAGCAAGTTTTACAAGGAGGAAACCATACGGCCATGATTTACCCATTTCAAGCATTACAACAGACATTTCTGAAAATATCTGGATGAT